GCCTCCAACTACTGCAGCACCAACCACCACTGCACCTCCAACATCTGAAGCTCCAATCACCACTGCAACTCCAACAATTACTGCAGCTCCAACCACCACTGCACCTCCACCGACTACTGCAGCTCCAACCACCACTGCACCTCCAACTACTGCAGCTCCAATCAGCACTGCACCTCCAACAACTGAAGCTCCAACCACCACTGCACTTCCAACTACTGCAGCTCCAACCACCTCTGCACCTCCAACAATTACCGCAGCTCCAACCACCACTGCACATCCATCCAGTGCAGCCCCAACAACTACTGTGACCCCAACGTCTGCAGCTCCAACTACCACAGCAGCACCAACAACTGAGGCTCCAACTTCCAGTATTACTACTGCTACAGGTAAAATTTGGTTAGACAAAAGGTAATGTTATTAAAAAACAAGTGCATTATTTTTTATTTTTTTTATATACCTCTTTTGTGGTTGGTGTCATGTTGTTGGAATTTTTCAATTTTTTGTCATTGCACAATTCTTCAAGATGAGATGCAAATCATACCTGCATCACCAAACCAGAATATCTATTCCATGATATAATAAAACAATCTATTCCAAGGCCACAACATATTCTGAAGTACTGGGTAATATAACAATTTAGTTTTTCTTTCTGTATTTATTTAGACAGTGGATGAAATAATTACATTCATTGACAGATGGAATGTTTCAGTCCACTTGACTTCACTTCCATGGAATATTACATTCTGTCTGTTAGCTAATAATCAATTCTTATCATAATACAGTAAACTCCGGCTAAGTTGGCACTTTCAAGACCCAAGAAATTATGATGACTTACGCAAATGTTGACTTGTGCTGTCAGTCATCATTTTGCCGACTTACACGTACACATGTATTGCGTATGTACATTATGATTCCTTGCACTAATTCAATGGCTTTGATTTACCGTGGCCTATTTCTACCTCCATGGTTAATTTCAGCAAATTTGTTCTCGATTATTATCCTCATCAGTCAAGCAGTGTGGGACTTGTCACTTAACACTTCTTGGCAACTGTGGCAAGGAAACTGATATCGAAGCACGATTTCTTTTTTAAGCCGACTTACAGAAAAGAACTTTTGTGGTTTGGTGGAAAAGGGACCAAGAAAAGCATGCTGACTTATACAAAATGACGACTTATAAATGCCGACTTAGAAATGAAATTTTCAATGGATATGCATTACAGATGATTGGGACTTTTGTCAACAGGCTGACTATACACAATATGACGAGTTACGCGATGCCAAATGGTCAGAGTTTACTGTAGTCATAAACATTTAATATTTTGACACCATGTACATGAACGATTATAGAAACGATTCATTTCAAATAACACAACCATGGAACTATGATTTAAGTTTCCTCCTAATACTGGTTGTGATATGCGTGCCAATTCTGCTCAGAATACTTTTATTTCTGCATCTTTTTTACATTTGCATGGAATATGGATTGGACAATTCCTAAATTTCTCCCAAGCATGTACTCATTTCATGCCAAAATGTATCAGTGTACTTTTACACTCAGAATGAAATTTTTGTTGCCATTTACGACGACTGATCACTGTGGCTTCCATAGCAACCCAAATTATATTTTTCTTGATCTGTCTGCTTTCCGCTGCTTGATCGCTTTACTAGTGGTAGTGCTGCATATTGTCAATTTGCTAATATATCTAGCCAGAGGAGTAAGGATTGTAGTAGAAATGAGTCGACGCTTCCTCGGGAACCAAAAGTTAAGTCTCTTTTGATTATTTTTGCCCCAAAAGCTACATGTGAAGTAAAATTCTACCCATGCTTTTATCTACTTCATTTTAGCTTAAAACTTAAACTACCGATTGTCATTTGTATAAGCAAAAACAGTAAGAACAACTCGGCTTGTGTTTAAAAAAATAAAATAATATTGATCTTAAACCTCAAAAATTTGTTGTTTTCCTGAAAGAGTACTGCTTGACCCCTTTGGCGGAGCTGGAAATGGAGGTGCTGTGGAAGATCTCTGATGGTACAACAACGATCCCTCTTGAGGATCCATCCAACCCATGGAAAGTGGACAGCCTATTGCATTGGGAAAGCATCTCCACCTTGCTCCGCCACAAGGCACAAATCAGGGGTCTTCGGGTCATGGGACAGGTTACGGAGCCCATCGACGTGATTCTGTCATACAGCATGAACAGAACTGAAATCTTCAAATCTCTGGTTAGCTATGAAACCAAACAGGACTTTCTTTTGTGTTTGCCTTTGAAAGTGTGGTAACATTACTTTTTGAACACTTGAACTATTCCCTGTTTGGTAACATCGATTAACTTATGTGAAGGGATTGACAATTTTGTGTGGAACATTGACCCAAAGTCAAATTAATTAATTGTAGTACTTCCCTTTGTTTTCCTTTTTCATAGGCTTTGGAAATAGGATTGATAAAGGACACCCCGGTCAATGTCATATTTGAGGAACCATTGCGTTTCGTCACAGACTTGGAATTTAAGTTGCATAGATACCCTACAACAGACACAGGCCTTCAACTGAACTATTTAGGCTGTCCCGAACGTATGTGTACCCCCCTTTAATTGGAGTATTTTAAAAGTTTTAGTATAATTAAAAATAATTGAAAAATTAAAGTTCCATTTCACCAGTTGTCACAGTAATCTAAAGTTAATTTGTTTATGGAAAACTATTTGTTTTATAATAAAAATTAAAATAAAAGACACACTTTTTCTTATTTGATGTGAGAAAAGGCCCATACACCACACATGTAGATTCCATCAACAGGCAAGTTAGTTCATTCTGTTGTTTAAGTAATGTAGAAGTATCATTTACAATAAAAAGTAGCTTAAAAAAAGGAATTGTCTGTAATTTTAAGAGTGGAGGCAACCTGTAGGCATTTCCATTTTGTTATGTCTGAAAAGACATCAACTTTATTTTATTGTCACAGCGGTGGGACCTACAACTCAACCTCAAATAACCACACTGACAACGGCGGCTACCCCAACAGGTTTGTGTTAGTTTGAGGCTTCCTTGTGTTCTTCTTATTTTCTAATTATTAAATCATGCCACTGTGCCATCAGTTGATGCAAGGTGAGAATTACTGAGTATCTTTAATTGCTGTTGTCAAACCCTACGGAAAAAAATAAAAGGAACTTCAGAGTTTCCAGTCTCTGCCTCTTCTGCGTGTTTTTTTTTTCATTTCATTGTATCGATTCTAAAGCCCTCTTGCACTGAATGATGGTAATTCTTTTTAAACCTTGCAGGGCTGGATTGCATTGTACCTGAAAGAATCTGTCACTGGAACAGTGAGGCAATTAACACAAATTTGGGAATGTTATCCATTCTATTATTGTACAAATATGCCGGTACTATGCATCACTTTGAAGAAATTTGTTCATCATGCAATTCAAATTTGAACCCATGGGAACTAACGGGGGGGGGGGAGAATGTAAGCATCATTGTCCTATGATGCAACCAAACTCGTGCTATATCATTAACTTAAATGTTTGTCAGACTTATTCAAAAGCTTGCTTTTGCCTCATACTACCCTCACCAACATGCAGTGAAACCGTTTGCCCCAGTATGACCTAACACTGTAAAGGAGGCCAGTCACATTGTTTCCCTTGCAGTTAGGAATCTCTGCAAGCATGATCATTACCCCAAAACATTTTATACTTGTGATTAGTTATGCAGTCTGTAGTTTGAATGAAACAGTAGAGCACTTTCTTTTCTCACACAGTTGTTATCCCCTGTTGCAATCACAAATAGACAGAAAAAAATTGCCTCTCAGTTTTGGCATTAAAATGGACATTGATTTTAATTTCAAAACAGAAATCCCACTCTGGTCTCAGTCCAGCCATGTTCTCACCACTGTTACACATAGAGACAGTGTCCATCAGGGCATGGCAAAATATGAAACTATTAGAGAATTAGCTCTGTTAGTGTGACGGTAATTTATAGTGCCCCCTTTATAGTGCCCCCTTTAATGTGAGTTACTAGTCAGTTATGCGGAGTATACAGGAAAGAACACTTTATCTTAGGTCCTTGTTAAGTGCATAATCGTCTAAAGACATGGAGGGATATACATTCATGTATTTTTGGCAACCCTTTTGTGGGAGATAGAGTACTAAGCAAGTTTGGCGTGAACCTTCACCGTGGATGTAAACAATTTTGGAAATAATAACATGTTTCAGAAGTGCCAACAACCTCAGTTATTACCACGGAAGTGATCACAACAGAGGAGACTACAACAGAGGTAGTCACTACAATGGTTTCTACAACCACTCCTGAAGCCACAACTACAGAAAAGACAACAGTTGCCACTACAACGGGTGAGTCTTAAGAGCTTGCCGGACTTGATGTTAGCAAATTGGTTGGTTTTGAAACCTTGAAGATCCAAACTAATTTTGCATTGATGTGTTGAACTGTGACTGTGAAAAGTGTTAACTACCCATAATGCTTTTGGACTTTTTAGGTACTAAAGTTCATCTAAAGGAAATAGATAATTGAGAGAGTGTAGAGCAATAGTGCAATGTTTCCTGGCACCTTACTCACAAGGGCTGATTTTTTCAACTAATGTGCCACTGTTGAGTATATGAACTGAATAATCCAACAAATCCAACAAGAAAGTTAATCTTTTTTTACATAAATGGGAACCAAGCGTGGCTTAGGTGATTTGGCTGCTAAGAACAACAAAACTTTGTATGCATTACCATTTCCGTGTCTGCATTTTGACAGAGGCTCCTACCACAACTGCAGCTACCACCACAAAAGTGATAACCCGGGAAACCACAGTAGTTCCAACAACCCCAGCTCCACCAACTACAACACTGGAAACTACAACTGTTGTTCTTACTACCACTCCCGAGGCCACAACCACAGAGGAGACTACCTCTGTCCTCACTACCACTGAGGCCACCACAACAGGTGTGATCACAGTTATGTTTGTTGCTTCAAGTAGATATATACCAATTACTCTGGGCTAAAATTCCATTTTTATGTACATGTATCTCAGTTTCCCAATGTGCTATAGCTGCTCAAATAAAAGAGAAAATGGTGATTGGGACCACAAAGTAAGTTGTGGAATTACAGGTCTGCATTACATAATTGTGCTGGATATCCAAAAAATGTTACATTTCAGAGGCTCCAACGACTACTGAGAGCACAACTGTTCGAATTACCACAAGTCAGGTGCCTACAACCACTACCCCACCACTGACCACCGAAGAAGTCACTACAACAGTTGTGACCACTACACCTGAGGCAACTACAACACAGACCACTGCAGTCCAAACAACTACAGGTAATCACTGGTTTTAATGTGGCAACAGCAGGCAATGACCAAAGTTCATGGAATATCATTTGTATTTTGCATTAGTACCTAGACACATTCTTAACCTTAAGAGAGCCAGGGGGTGGCAGAATCTGCCCCCTTCGACTTTTTTTCCAATATTTCCAAAGTGCAATTTTTTTCAAGAACTGAGCCTTTAAGAGGCTTTAGAGAAACTCTTCTATAGTAAGTTGAGTAACTCTGAGGCAGGTCAGCAAAAATGTATACTTTTTCCACTTTGGTACTCAGTGCACATGGACTGGCACGCATGTAGCCTTGAACTGCAAATGGCCATGACAGCAAAATGATATGCTTGATTGATTTCAAACTTCACTGTTTTAATGAAAAAAATGGTCTTAACATGCATGCCATATTTCAAAGAAATCAAGGTTGATGGTACTGCCAACTTCTAAGTGGGGGGCAGAATCCACCCCCACCTGGCACCAAAACAAGCCGACTCTTTGAGTGTAAAAGATGTTAGGGAAGGCCTTCAAAAAATGAGTTTATTTTCAGTGAAAAGTAATGCAGTACTCATCTGTATGAGACAGTTTTCAGTTTTAATAAATTGTGATAGAATTTTGTGGACCACTGATACCTGCGTGTGTGTATTACACTTCTAAGTCTTTGATTGTCACCAATTATAGCTTACAACGTATAATTGCAATTGAAGTGAATGAGGACAACGGTTTTGTTGCAGTAAATGTCATAATTGTATCCCTCAAAGTAAGAACAGCTCTTGTGATGGCTAACATGCAGTACCTGAATCTCCTCCTATAATCAAATAGATATGCCGCGAATTGTAGGGAAGCTGTGGCCGACGCGACCCTCCGACAAATGTTTCATGAATTTTTCATTTTCCCAAATCACACCCCTGTTTCACATATTGGTTCATATTGGTTGTATCTTGCAGAGGCTCCTACAACAGGTACGGCTTCAACCACAACAGTAACAACCCGAGAAACCACTACAGTTCCAACCACAACAGCTCCGCCAACTACAAAGCTGGAAACTGCAACCACCATTCTTACCACCACTCCTGAGGCTACAGCCACTGAAGAGACAACAACTGTGCGAACTACCACTGAGGCTACTACTACAGGTGTGATCATTGTCAGTTTTACTTGTCATGTCTTTTGACTTTGATGTGTACTAAATAAGCAAAGTGCGTCAGTATTTTCCTAGATTTGTACTCATTAAATCATTAGCAGGGGCAAAACAACGATAGAAATTGCCAGGAACTGTGAAGCCAAATACTTTTTTATGAGGCACGGTTCTAAATGATATAATGCATGTCAAACTGCCTTACAGAAGCCCCAACGGCTACCGAGACCACAACTGTTCGAATTACCACAAGTCAGGCACCCACAGCCACCACCCCACCACTGACCACCGAAGAAGTCACCACAGCTGTTGTGACCATTACGCCTGAGGCAACCACAACACAGGCCACTGCAGTTCAGACAACTACAGGTTCCTATCTTGTTACTTGCCATTGGGGATGAAATATTGGGTGCTGCAGATGCTGGTGAACAGAATTATAAGAAAAATATTTCTTGAAAGGTGATGAGGCTGAGTGTGGTAACCCACCTGGATGACTGGTGGAATTGAGGGAAACAACATCAAGCTACTTGGTATAGGTTTTCCCGGCCAATTTAGGAAAATGTGCAATTTAATTTGTAAAATGAAAATTCAATTTGATGTAGACTTTGAAAACGACTTAAAACCTGGTCTCATTTTTGCAATAACAAGCATTCAACTTTTGTTTTGCATTTTTGAAATAAATTAATGTGCATTACGTTTCATTTAATTGGTTACAAATAAGATATTGGGATTTGATATGACGTAGGCCTATCTGTTGCCAATTTGCATTCTTATGTATTCATTTTCATTTGTTATGCAAATTCGCAAACATATACATTCAAGTTGATAGGAAGATACAAGGTTACACAAATCATGACACCACTTTGAAAACAAATGTAGTGTTACTCATGAAGGATTATAAATTGATTTTGCTGTACCTCCCCGTTCAACCATTGGAAGAGGGCATGTCTGAACTTTAACTTTGCTGTATGATTTGATTGTGGCAAAAACATAGCACAAGAAGGAAAGTTCCCTCAGCCTCGGTGTTTAAATAGTCAGTATATTCCAAAGACAACACAAGTGATTTAATTCAATGATACTTCAAAGAATATAACTTCTGTTAACACACAAACAAATTCCAATTCTTGACCCGGCAGACCTTAAGTAACACTATGCGCGAAATTGCTTGCATATTTGCAAAATACATTGAGTTAAAGTTAAGATGAATGCAGTGTTGCAGAGGTGCATTCGGTTTCACGCAGAAATGAATATCAGCTTACTAAGCCACTGCATTATGGGAAATCGACTTCATAGGACTGAATGCACCCTCGTTGAAATAGAATTTTTATTTGTTAAATAGAAACAGGGATTTGAATGTTCTATTTCACTCGAAAATGAATGCTGCTATTAATTCATATTTCACATTTTCTGACATTGGCCAGGAAAACTTATTTTTATAATTGCACAACATACTTATCCTGGAAACACAGATTTTTGAAACCATCAAGATACCATTGCCACTGACCATTACAAAGTTGGATTTTATATGTTAACCCATGGTGGTCATTTGTTCAAGATTTGTGCAACAATCGGTGCATTTATTTAAACTCCTTGAAAATGTTGTGAAGCAATATTTTCTGTAAGGGAGCATTTCATAATTGTTGAAGGCGGCATTTACTGCGGTACCGCTGTTTTTTTAGTGGCACTGCACTAGTTACCCGAATGGGCTTAATGCTGGTACCGCAAAAATACAGCGGCACCGCAGTAAATACCGCCTTCTGTAATTATGAAACGTTCCCTAACACCCAGCCATGCTCATGGCCACTTGAGGGACCCACATAGGCTCAGCCACTATGGACTGGTTCGGCCTCTGTATGTCTCCAGATAGAGTGGAAATCATTCATGCATTGGAACACTGATGCCATAGTACTTAATACGGAATTTGTCCAAAGGTGTTTGAACATCATTCGTTGTAAATTGGTTGACATTTCAAATGTAATTTTTCAGTCAATAATTAACATCTATAGATGTTGTAGTGCTTTCTCATTGTAGATGTGTGGCATTTTGTTTTGTCTGTTTGCAAGTATAGGTAACATAGTGGTCTATTTGATCATTCACCCGTGAGGACAATTTATGCGTGGTTCCCATTTTGCGCAAATACTTCAGAAATAGCACATTCTTAAAAGGGTTGCATATAAAGAGGGGGAAAACCAATTCATCTCTTGACCACTTGAAATGCAGTGAGTCCAACAACGGCCACCCGAAAGGCAACAACGACCATTGCGACCACAGTCACAACTACAGTCAGTCCAACTGCCACTGAAGCACCAACAACTTCAGAAGAGCTGACCACCACAGTGGTGCACACAACCACTCCAACGGCGACAACCTCAGAAGAAATCAGCACCCTTCGAACCACAACCCAAGCAACAACAACAGGCAAAATATACACTGTTAAAAGTGGTTTTATCTTTGAGGGGAAATGGATTAATTTACTGTGATAAGCTCGTCCATTTTGTGCAATTAAGCATTTTTAATGAATTTTTCACTTCTTGAAGGGGAGTAATTTTTACAAAAAGGAATCTGTCCCAATACAAGACAGTGAGACGTTAAGTTTGAAATAAATATGAATGCCGGTTGTGATTGTGGCCTCGTAAAGTTTCTTTTGGTTTCTCTTCTTTGTAGGGAAAGAAATGGAGCTGTTTTCAATTTTTCTTTTCTTGTTTTGTCCTTCGGTATTGTACAACCGCAGAAGCCCCAACAACTACTGAAGCAAGGACCACTCACGTGACAAGGACAGAGGCACCTACAACCACTGCTCAGCCAACCTCAACAGAGGAAATTACTACAACAGTTGTGACAACCTCTCCAGAGGCAACCACAACAGAGACAACATCAGTTCAAACAACAACTGGTTAGTCTGTGCAATTTGCATGTTTTCAAAAAAAGTTGACAAGATGCAAAAGCATTCCACTTGTATTCATTTTAGTATGGAACAAAACACTCACTGATTTTTGTTGTATTACCTCTGCAGAAGCCCCGACTACAGTTGTGGTCTCGACTAAAGTTGTAACCACAGCCCCAAAGACCACCGCAGCACCACCAACGACTGAGGAAGTCACATCCACTGCGGTCTACACCACCACTCCAGAGGCAACAACCGTCACAGAGACAACCACCACAGTGAAAACAACGGAGGCAACAAGAACTGGTATTTGGAAACATTCATTTTAACAGTAGGACAAGACCGGAGGCAATGTATATAGACCCCAGTATATTAATGAAGCCACACTCTGTGCTTTCCATGCCGTAAATTCTCATTTACCACAAAACCCGAGTTCAGCATCATAAACTCGGGTTTCTGGCAGATCATACCAGGATTTCAGGGATCTCATATGAGCTACTGTCATCACCCTCAGGGGATTTTGTTATAAGCTTGGCGCAAAACTGCAGACAGGGCTTGACCTTGGCTTGACTGGGTGGTGAGTGGGCTTTGCCTATAGTTTTCTCAACACACATCCAGTTTCATACTATGCTCAAAACTAGTGTAGCATCCCATTTTGACTAGTTATGAAACCACATTTTCCCCTTTTGATCGCTCAAATCGGTGCTCAACGCCCGAGTTACGTTAAATGTTTGTGTTGTGGTGTTGTTTGTGTGGATCACAACTTACTCATTACGCATGCGTGAAAGCTGCCTTGCAAGTGCAAGAATAACACTATGCCATAGAAGGTCTTTCACGTGATATATCATAAAATGAAACTGAAGTATATGAAAAATTGATGCTTAACTGCCCGTGTTCACATTCTGACTTAAATCGTTCACAAATCCTCAATGAATCTCATAGGTCATTGATCATGAAGTTAAAGTCGGACTATATTCTCTCGCGGACGTAGATGGCACTGACATTGCCAAATACATTAGGTATGTGAAAGAAGGATCAAAGTACAGTAACTTCGTTGTCGGAATTCTGCCTCCGTATTGAGAGGGGGATCATTGTATGCACTAAACTTCGTTGTCAGAATTCTACCCCCTTATTGGGAGGGCGAATCATTTTATGCACTAAACTTTGTCGTCGGAATTCTGCCCCCTTATTGGGAGGGCGGATCATAGTACACACTAAACTTCATTGCTGGTTTTTTATTTTTGTAAGTTGGTACTCAGATCAGTCAACCTTTCAGATACTTCCTTCATACTAAATAAATATCAGTCAACATTTTACATCAGAAGTGGACAGTGCTTGCACCATGTATTTATAGACACACACCTCTTGCTGTCCGGTACACTTTAACTATAATAAGTTCAACCGGCTCTTTGTGACCTGTGTAGAAGCCCCAACAACAACTGAAGTCACCACCACTCGTGCAATCACAACAGAGGCTGCTACAGCCACCACCCCGGCAACAACAACCGAGGAGGTCACCACAACAGTTGTAAGCACCACGCCTGAGGGTAGCACTGCAGAAACTACAACAGTGCAAACAACAAGAGGTTAGTCAGCAGGACAGACCAAAATTTGGCTCTCAATAACGATTATTACCAATGATCATTAAGGTTTCAGGGTGAAAAAATTAATTCATTCACTTTCCTACTTTGACCTTTGTCAGTTCTTTCCAATCCAGGCATCTTACACCCTAGATGATATTTATGTTGTTTTCTCTATCTACAACATGAATCATTTTGTCATGCTCATCACATGATATTCAGTTGCCCCAACAACCGAGGAAGCAACAACCACAGTTTTCACAACAGTGGAGACAACAAGAACACCAAAAATCACCACGGCACCTACAACAACTGAGGTTGCAACTACCACTGCAGTGCAAACTGCTACTCCAAAGGCAACAACCACTGAGGAAACAACAGTAGTTGTGACCACTTCAGAGGGCACTACCACCCGTAAGTCTTGTTGTCAGGGATAGATTACCCAGCATGGATAGCAGACACTGTGCACACTTAGAGTTTTTAAAGCATTACTTCCCTTGTTGAAGTTTTGATAACGGGAGAGCTTCAAACCAGCTGGTGCAGTGTCAACACAAAGTTTGAAGCTACACCGCTCACCAGCACAATGAAATTGGTGCAAGTGCCTCTGGTAGAGAAGTGCCAATGGAAAATGGTGCTGATCTTCTCCAGTGCTATTAACCTTGAGCTGTTAAAGTTCCATGTTAGTTGTATGATGTCATGTGTTACCCTCTGTTAACTGTAGAGGCTCCATCAACCACTGAGGTAACTACTGTCAGCGTGACAACCATTGCAGCACCTACAACCACTTCCCCAGCAACAACCACTGCGGAGGTCACAACAACAGTGGAGACCATTACACCCAGGGAAACCACAACAGAAACAACCACGGTGGAAACAACCAAAGGTGGATATTAAATTGAAAAGAAGGTTTTTTAATTGCTATAGTTGGAGGTTTATTTTGAGATAGCATCAACTAGTAAGAGCAGAAATTATAATATCAGGTTCCTGGTGAATTATTGCATATTACTGCAGATTAAGAGATTTGTAATTAAAGTACCTTAAACAAATGCCAAAAATTGTCAGCTCAAAGTTTACCCAACAAAGCTTTCATTTGGGTAAAAATGAAGTGATAGACAGTCTGAAAGATGTACAGTGGAATGCCGCTATAACGAACGGTTTAAGGTTTCCAAAAATGTATCTGTTAATATTTTTATTTTTTATTAAATCTTAAATTACAAAATTGATTTCAGGTTTATCGTCATGAATCTACCGCTCAGGATCGGTCTCTGACACATGCTGGGGCAAATCTTGGTGACTTGTGTATCAGTGGCGCCTTCTTTAGACTAATGTTAGTGCAATGCCACGGCGGTGCGCGTGCGGTTTTCTTCCTCACCCAATCACTGGGAGTCGCAAAACAAGCGTCCATTCAATACTGTTGGCAAATTAACACTGTGTGCCCTGGCCATCACTAGAAGACGACTATGAACAAGTGTGGACCAATGTCTCCAGTTTCTCAGCCAGTAAATTACAATTAACTCTTCAACAACTAGTGGCTTTTCCTTCTAATGCTTGGGGAAATTATGCCAGTTGTCACTGTACAACATAAAAAACCCAACTGTTTTATCAAGTTGATGTCCGGGAATTACAAACGGCAACTGCATAGGGTTTGGTAGGTTTTGTGCACAATATATTTGGAGCCAAGGACGATGTGTGGTATAGCCGAATGTTCGGTATAGTGGTGTTTGATATAGCGGCGTTCCACTGTACTTATTTGTTATAATGCATCATGAAAACTGATCTCCAAAAATTCCACGACTGCTGTGAAAAGTGATCAAGACTCTGTATCAAAATGCCTTCCATGATGTGCATGTTCCTTAGTTCAGCACAGACCCATTTGCAGCGATTACCCTCAACATTTTTGCTTGTCCAACAGTTGCTACAACAACTGGAGAAACAACCACTGTATCAGCAACCCAGCAAACCACTACAGTCCCCAAAACTACTTTGACTCCAAGTACAACTTCACAAGTGACAACCACGGCAGTTACCACTTCAACGCCCCAGGTCACTACGGAGGAAGAAACTACAACCGTCTCAACAACAAGAGCAGCCACTACAACTGGTGCGTCAACATTCAATGATTTTTCAGTTCTTTCCTGCATTTATTCAAGGCGGCAATGTCCAGTTGTGAATCTTCGGCATCATCATCAGCGTTGTAGTCGAGTCCTCAACTTCTGAGTCCAAGTTATAGTCTGAGATCAGTTGGTTTGAGTCTGAGTTGAGTCCATGTCCGAAAAGTCCAGAGTCTGAGTCCGAAAAATCTGAGTTCAAGTATTTATGTAAGGTAAGTGTTCTCATAAAAATACAATTTAAAAAGGACACAAATAATGAAAGAACAAGCTTGTGGCACACACAGTGCAGAAATTGAGTCCCACTTACGATGGATGTCATTATTTACAAATATGAACAAAAAGAGGACTGATATTTCCTGGTGTTTATAGTGGAGCGATAATTATTTTCAACATAGTGTTCACCTCCCCTAAACAATTTAATCTACAAATGCTTTAACAAGGCATCTGCATTAAAAATCTACAAAAAGTAGAAAAGTTAACAAAAAAGATAAGCTTAATAGAGTTTCAGTCACAATTTTAGCCTTGAGAGTGTTTATGGAAATAAATCCTCAAATTGGAAACAATTTTTTTTATGTTGAAGTTTTCCAGGCTTATATTATGGACTCAAACTCAGGCTGAGTCCTTGACCCATGTCTGAGAAACAAAACCGGCTCTGAGTCTGTCAAAACGTTTACTAGAGTCCAGATTGGAGTCTGAGTCTGGACTCTAGTCCAACAGCATGATATTTATGTTCCCTTCTGAAATTGCATGTTTTGAGCATGCAGTGCTTCCATTTTTTCCACAAATAACCAGCTTGTCAAATCTCCTTGATGCCTGTGTTTCACTCCCATAATTGGCATTGTTCTCAGTGGCCCCAACCATTAGCGAAACGACCACAATCCGTGTGACAACAACAGAAGCACCAACAACTACCGCCCCTCGCACAACCACTGAGGAGGTCACCACAACGGTTGTGACTACTACTCCAGAAGCAGCAACAACTCAGACAACCACTGTGCAGACAACTACTGGTATGATCACATAAGCAGTAGAAGTGATTTACAATACAGTGCACCACTAACAGTGTGACACAGAAAGGCTATTTTTTGCAGTGCGTTGTGGGAAACACTTGACAAATTTTATTTGCGGCTTGTGTAGGAACATGAATTGTTGCTGATTTTTGGGGGGTTTGGGTAGAAGATTTTTTTCCCAGGTAGCAGAATTTTGTTCCCATAATTCAAAACTCAAAAACCTCAAATGTATCCATGGATAATTGCCATTTTTTTCTCAACCAGAAAATGCTCAAAATGGCTTTTCATGCCAACCTCGTGGTTGGTGGTGCACCATATTCTTGAATGTGCAACACGCTGAAAAACAAGTTGAATTTATTGTGTCAATCTGTCATCATCCCTTCCCAGATCCAAAATCTTGCCACCAATGTATAGCTGGTAGTAGGGAGAAGAGCCAGGGATATTGACACTTTGGAATTAATAATATGATGCAATGATGTAGAGCATTTCAGTATCTGGTTGACTGTCGATGTGCTTTAAACGATATTGTCCCTGCTCATTGGTCCCAGACACAATGTTGAAGCGAGAGAGGCAAGTGAAGGTACAGTGATGTGCCCAAGGTCACAATATATGCTCCATTGCAGAATTCAAAGCCCAGTCCTGTGATCAGGAATAACAAACCCTTACCTTTTACAAGCTAGCCACCTCGAGCAGAAGCACCCCCTCATTGGGTGTGACACTTGCATTTCCTATTTGTTTGTGAACCAGCGAAGTTCAGTTCCAACCAAAGGAGCCTCTGTTGCTAAGAAAATAGCGCCCTCTCTTTGTCCAGCTCGAGGTCTATAAAGCTGGAGAGCTTGCTTGGTATTTTTGTCTCTCAATTTAACCAAACAAACTTAAATGTGCTCCTATTTAGATTGCTCAGAGGTTTACTTGAAACAAGTAATAAAATAAACCCTTTCTTTTGAATGACAGTTGCTCCTACAACAAAGGAAGCAACAACATCCGTTTTTACAACACAAGAAACTACCATCATTCCAAAAACAACAGAAGCACCGACAACAACCAAAGAAGTCACTACCATCCAAATCACCACAACTCCTGAGTTAACAACTACCGAGGAAACAACAATTGCAACGACAACCGAGGCACAAACAACTACAGGTGATTTCATAGATACCCTATTGATCATTACCAATAGCCTTTCTAAGATGGTGTCTTACTCACAGGTTACACAATCCCATAGTTGACTGTCGTTTAAGAGATGACTTAAGTTGGCATCACTTTCTGCTGTACTGAAACTTCTACCTTTTATAAATGTATATATTCAAACTCACAAGCCTGGTCCTTTCCCCAGAGCTTAACGGGCACCCTACATTTGCTTTTGGATCATTTGTGAGTAGCTATTGTTTTGAATGGTGAAACCTATGATGTAAGTTCCCCCTGACGTATAGCCTGTTTGTATAATTTCATTCTGTCACCAAAGGATTGATCACTACACCTGAGCCGACAACAGTGAGGCAGACCACAAGTGTGACAACTGAGGGTAAGACACATGGTCAACAGCAAGGACTGCATGTGTTGAGTTTTAATGGAAAGAGCTGAACGCATGCAAAGTTGTTTAAAGATTACTGAATGGTGTGTATTATTGAAGGAACCTGGAAGTGCAGATGATGCAACACACACAGTGAAACATTAGGTAAACTGTTGTGCGGATCTCTATGTCCCAGTTAAGATGTGGAAATATTTCCAAACGACAAGAACCATGGTTAACGTGAGAAATCGAAGGCGATACCTGTTGAAAAGAAACTGACCCTCCAACTGATCGAGAAAAATTATTTCAAACTCCAAACTCATTCGTGATTAGAAAAGGTAAGGATGACGTCAAGTTGAAAATGGAAACTGCTTTGAAACTAACATCTCACATAGTGTCTGGCGGCATGCCCCCCCCCCAGCTAAAGTTCTTTACCCTAATCCAACCCGACCCCCCACATTTGAAGTTTTGTAACGTACGCAACCAATGTACAGCTGCAGTCTATTTGCTTTCAGTGCCCCCTTCAAAAGATGTGTGCACCCCTGGGGTCCCCCGCCCAGAAGCTTCACCTTTCTGGAAGGGGCTCCCAAAAATGGCCCATTGTAGAAAACAGAAAGGAAGGTTTAATTTCTGGGATCTTAAAATTTGGCACACTGTGTCGGCGACAAAATGTCAAGACTGGGGTACTACATGCAGTTTCTCTTTCACTTCGAATCCTGTCATGTTTGTGAGATGTTGGCAAAGCAAGTTTCTTTTAATACTGGATAATAAAGAATAGAATAGAATGGAACTGAAATTGAACGGAACCTAGTACATTCTTTTAATTGGGGTGTAGATGATATAGATGATATCATGAGTTTCTCAACCTGAACCCCCTCGGGTGTATGTAAAAATCATATCAAAATCGGGGTTTTGAGGACTGCAAGGGTTAAATTTGTTGTTTTGTTTCTCCAATTCAGCACCAACCACTAGAAAGCAAACTACGACTGAGGAGGTGACCACAGCTAAACAAACTACAGTTACCATCAGAGAGACCACCACGGAAGGCGAAACAACGACCTACTCCACCACGGTCATCGTCACTACACGTAAGCAGAATCCCCCCCCCAAAAAGTCACACTTCTAGAAAGAAGTGACAGAAACTTTGGCAATTAATCATACCGATTGGAAAGAGATCCTGACATTTTTTGCTTTCCGTAATGTTGAAACCAGCTCTGAAGTTTCCACGTTTGCATACCGAAAATGCTAGAGAAACAAGACAACACACATGGCAACAGTAAATATGGCAGCGTGTACGTTGGTCATTACGCTTATGGTTCAGGCTGTTTGAATTAAACTGTGACTGATTTTTCATTCGCCGTTTGGTTTTCATTGCCTCTGTTTGAAATCTATGTAGAAGACTTGATTTGTGCCATTTAAACGGGTTACTAACGTTTTTCTTTTGTTCTAATTTAAACATAGCAAAATTTGTTTGTGAACACGACGGCACCGAATATAATGTAAGTTTGCTTCCCTGTAAGTGGTTTATACCTAGTTATCTTATTTTTTATCAAACTTTTTGTTTCACAGTAAATGAAGGAATGGCCCCTCTAGGTATGTAAAGCTAATGTGCCGGTAGGAGACAATTTCATTTGTTAGGAAAGTCACAGTTGCTGTTACAGGCACAAAAGTGTGCCCCCAACTCACCATAACAATTTTGGTTGCCATAGTGTCTCCATTTTAACATACCTTGCCCCATTACCTGGTAGCAGGTAGAAGTGGGCTGGCATTCACCGCGTTTAGGGGACAAGTTCTGTTGCTAGGGAAATTTGAGCCTAGTTGTGGGGACATTTCTGAGTCCCCACAACTTTTTTGGTCCCCACAAAAGAGGTGAAATGTCAAGTGTATATCCCCACACCCACAGTGCGGGAGTGTGTGACATTGTGTGTGTATATTTATTGTCTCCACTGATGACAGGAAGGTGATGTAATGCCGTCGCCAGACAAATGCAAGGTCAGATTCTGTACAGCTGATGGCATTGAAGACGTGGAAATAACCTGTAACAGAACGTGCAAAAATGTAGGTACACCTACACAAACTTTTTTTCTGATCCATATTTTTTGGGTACGTTATTAGCACATGCTTTGTATTAGTTTCTTTTGTGCAAATTAGACATCAATCCTTCAAGTATTTGTGTGAGCCAGCATGACCTGAGCTCCTCCCATCCCAACCTGTGTAGCCTCACCTGACCAGATACACCACTGAATAATATTAAGTACTTCTGAATGAGGTTATTTTTATCTATTGTGATATTGCACACTTAGACTATAGCCGTTCCATTTGAGTAATTATAGTTTTCATATTGTGAAAACAACTGGGAAAAAAAATGCCAAATGCATACTAAACAGCGATCTGTAATTCTTAGTTGAGTTTTCCTCAAGTACTGCAGGGAAAGGAGTTGTGCCCTGAGATTAAAATAGAACTGTATTTTCTCGATTCTGAAACATTGTTCAACAAGCTTGTGAATTGGATGTTTTCTGAACAGGGATATTTGGTAGTGCATGACCCAACCCTCTGCTGTCCCATTTGCGGTAAGAATTAGTGTTACGTTTTGATGTCCTCATTCTAAATGTAATTATGCACTTTTCCACAGACAAAATTCCTACAGCTTTTGTTGGAGAAAGTAATACACATTGTGAAATTGGTGGTAGTATAGTGTTGCCTTAGTATGAGACAGTCAGTTTGCTCACACATCAATATTAAAAACTTTCTGATTTTTACTATCCCATCAAATTTCATCAATGATTTTTTTGTTCTCTCCCTGTTTTAGTTCCGATTGAGGATGATTGCTTTTACCAAAGCTATCCCAGTCTGGTGGTGCAAGACGACTGTGTGTCCGAAAAGGAAATTCTCTTTACAGATTGCGAGGGGAGATGTGCCTCCAACAGCCGCGTGATCGCCTTGCCCGTGTCCCGGATCCAATTCGTTTGTGGATGCTGCAAGCCCGCGAGCCTGACCAACAATCATGTGAAGATGTTGTGCAACAACGGCACTGCGTATTTTCACCCCTACTACGAGATTAAGTCGTGCGAGTGTAAACCGTGCGACTACGAGCCCCTCGGAAGCGTCCAGGTGAACAAGATTGTGATCTCCTAGCTGGTGGCGCTGAATCTATGAATATATGAAATACGGCCTCCAAAAACTCCAGTCAGTTTTTGCTCGCAAGCTGTTGTCACTGTTACAAGCATTAGGTCACATTGCAGTGTTTTCAATAAGAGGCCATAATTCATTCATTCTCAATTTCATGCTTCATCTTTAATTGTTGATAATCAGAACTTACATGCAAAATCATCTACCCTGAGATTTTTCAGAATTGCATTTGGAATATATGATGAACATTTCAACCCGTAAGGCACGCACTTACTTTTTTGGTGTATGGACTTTTGCCCGAAGTTCGTTTTCGCAAATTTAATATATCCATTGTTCAGCTTGTCCTGCTTAACTCACCGAAAAACTGTTTGTGGAATTCACCTCATTCGGTATTCCAAGCATGCTACATGCGGTCAAGGTATAGTCTTTATGTTTGAAAAGGCCTGTTTCAAAATATTTGATATTTCCGGAATACGATGAACTGGAACTGATGACGGATTTGAAAAAAAATTGCTTTGGGTTAGTTTGGCCGAAAACGCTCCGTTTCTGTAGATAATTTAGAAAAGAGGATTAACTGTGTTTATTGTGTGCAATGATTTTGATTTTTGTGGTTTAACAATTGAAAGTAAGTGATTCAACTTTGTGCTTACGTAAATGGTGACTTTGCCCACTAAAACAAAACATTTACAGCCCGTATCTGTATCATGAAGTCACCTCAGGTTTAAATGTATCAACTAATGTGAAATTTGTAGATGGTGACCACAGCTATGTACACTGCCCCAATCCACGGAATGTTCTGTACCACAGGTCTCTCCAAAATTGTTTAAGTAAACTCCTGTGCGTATCAGGAACTCAAAAACTTCAGTTGAGACCAAGCCTTTAGCTACAGGTGTATTTCTTGGTTTCACTCTTAAAACACACAGTGTAGTATATTGGATTACACCTTGTTACTTTGAGATTATAAAATTTTCATGAAATCGGTATTGCTCCACATTGTACGCTCCCACCAAGTTAGGTTTCTGTTACTGTCAGCTCGTGTAATTTGTCACGTAAGTCATGTAAGTGTGACATTCATGACTTTCCCGTTAAACTGAAGAAAATATTCCCCAGCACTATAAAAAGAGTATAATACATTATTTTCTGTAACATTCAAGCTTGGGGAACCAGCTGACGAGCTTTCATAAGATTTTAAGGCAGTTTAAATGAAGCCGTAGATTATGCATTTAGATAATAAATCATAGTAGCAAAGCCTGCAGATATATCTGATGTTTCTTTCTTGTTTCGTTCTTTCTGTGGTAATTTTTCCTCGTCTATACCCTATTAGGGTACACTAGAGAGTTCTGAGGCTATCTGGGAGAAAAATACAAAACCAAAGTGTCTCACAAGTCTTCATAGCCACATAGTGTCCTGTAGTACTCAGCCTTCATTCAAGAAGATCGTGACAACAATTTCAATCTAGAGGTGTGGTATATACAAGGCGTCCAAGAAAAAAAAAAGAATCCGGAAAAGGGTTTTTCTGTTTTGGCCAAGTTGCGTGCTGTGTGGTGATAAATGTGTTACGGTGCACAATGCAGTTCCCATCGGTGGATCTGTTTTTCTTATTTCTTTGTAGAATCTGTCTTATCGAGTAAAACTTCACGTTATTTTTTCTGCAAATGCTTATATTGATGAATTTTAAAATTGTTGAATGGTTGTATTGTAAGCTGGTGCTTTCAGTGATTTTCCTGATGCCGACCCAGCATTTTAATACTGTTAACCAATATAATAAAAATGATAATAATGGCACTAACTTGGAAAAAAGGAATTTCATCTATAATTGTACGTTTTTAGAACAAAATAGAAGATTCCTCATTAAAAACATTACACCTGCATGAGGAGAGATACTTCTGAACGGTTTCTCAACTTGGGTGAGTGCCATTACGATCAAAAACAAAGCTGTCCGTTATATGTCTGTTATTACTTTATTGCGAACGACTGCGCCACCCCTGGATCTGTTACCTCTGAACCATAAACAATTATTTTTGAGACCACTTGAAATGAAGAAATGAAACCCGAACACGGTTGAAGATCCCTTTTATTTCCGAAAATGTAGACATTATAAATGAAGTAAATCAGCATCAACCCTTTAGCTCACTGTATTCAAACCTAAAAGAAATTGCCTTGTGGCTTATGCGCCCAGGGAAGTGAAAGAAATCTGGTGAGGGAAAAAAATCCAAAAGTTATGCGGTGTTGACCAAGCATTCAGGTGCACGGGCTCCTGAAATTCGCAAGGAATCGCAGTTACCGGCTTCCAATATAGGACTCTTCTGGGTCTCAGGTTCCCGGCCCACTGCACTTCCTCCCTGCCCATCCATTTAACCCCCAAAAGGGTTCGAGCGACCATGCAAGGGACGAAACGAGACAAGCCCCTAAAGCCCTGGCCGCCGAGTCGGCCATACGTCTCGAACGGACAGTCACGGACAGTCTCAACAGAAGAGCTTAACCGGTAGGCTAAGGTACTGATGGTATTTGACGGGGTGAATTTAACTTCTCTTACAGCAACTGACTGACAGCAAGCTTTGGGAAAATAAAAAGCCACCAGTGCGATGTGAAAACAGCGACTTTAACCATTGGGCCATTTCAAAGATGTTGCTTTTTGCTGTTCGTATTAAGGAGATAACAAAACCATTAACTCTACTGTACAGAATGTTTCTGCGTATGCTTCTTGACTAAAACGCTACGATGGCGCATCACGTAGCAAAATACACATACAATACTTGTATAAAGGTCCACCGACGAAGACAACTGTATTAAGATGAATAACAAAATGCACTACGCTGGAATGGATTGGAATGTTGTAGTTATCAATTACACTCTTCCAATAATGAAAGGTACAGTGTTGTCAATATTTGAATTTCAGTGTGGATCCCTCTTCGGCAACTTTTAGGGTGTCGCCTTCTTTATCCTCCCTTAAGATTCTGTTTCGTACAGAGAACGCACGACAGAAAAAAATCAAAAGACGGGAACAAGGAAAATAAAATATGGGCAAATGACGGCAAAGGAACTAATTTGAAATAACATTTAATTATAAACTTAGATCGCAAAGCAATTACTTAAAGCAAAGTAAATCTAGTGGGGTTTTTTTGCAACTCATGCAAAAACACCATGAATTTGGACGAGCAAAAGCATAAAGCAAACATATTTACATTAGCACAGCCAAACACAATTATACAAAAAAATAGCTACCCGGTAAAGCTGATGTTAATGCACAAAAAAGCAAATTATATTCGGCCGAGCATAATTACCTTAAGGAGCCCAAGACAAGGACAAAAAAATGAGGCCCCGCCCAGTCACTGCCATGGCTAAAGGAGCACAGTCATCGGGCCCAGCACCTCCACACCCCGCACCCAAACAACCTCAGACGTAGGTCGTTGTCGATCCTCCAGATTCGGCTTCTGCGTGGAGCCACGATACTCCAGGTCCCCGGTCCCACAGCAGTGTCAGCCTCGGACAAGGTCCGGTGATGAAGAGGAGAAGACGACACGGAGGTGCTGACCCAATGCTGGCTATTTTGGAACGCACATGCTAAGAGCACATAGGCACTGACTGAGAACAAAACAAATGACTATGGAGTCTTTTATAGGTTTTTCAAATGTGCGTTAATTCCACACTCTAAAGACGTCCGGGTCAGATTGACCCAGAATTGGGTCCAATTCGGTATAACCCTTTTCCGGGTCAAATTATGACCCAGAAAAGGACAAATATGACCCGAAAGATGGTCATATTTTGACCCCGAAAAGGGTCATACCGAATGGGACCAAATTCGGGGTCAATCTGACGCGGACGTGTTTAGGGTGCACACGTATCCTTTTTTCGGGGAGGCACAAAAGAATTTGGATCAACTGGGATCGTAACAATATCATCTTATTCTGGAACATTGAACCACGTAATTTAGCAGAATGATTATATGATAACAATCAGGTAGGCCTAATTCAAAAAATAGTTGACGGATGGTGGATAAGGTTACTTAGTTTATTAGGACTCTGTTACAACATCCTAGCATACACTGGCTGATAAATATTTAAATTGCGTAGTGAATTATTAAAAATTACTTCAATAAAGCATGAAATGTTACACCCTTCGTTCGTCGCTCAGCGCTCGAACAGGGCGCTAGGAAGGTCTGATGGCCTTGCACAGATTTTAGTGAAGGAAATACGTCACATGGGGTCACAGATAACGACGGGCAGTTATCAAATCGGTATTTTTTTCTTCCTCTCACCATACTGTATTCCTTCGTCCAAAATTGATCAAGATAACCAACGATTTGAAGAATATCCCCAAAAGACACTTAATCAGTTATACTTATAGTGAGAAAATAAATTACCACGACGTGATTGCAACAAGGCAATATTTTTTCATATAGCAGACACACTTTCCGTGTCAAAGTATTGCCATTTGCGAACATAATTATCTAAATAACGCTTATACGGTCGCAGGTCCTGCACAATGAAGCCGATCACAATGCAAAGCCATCAGCCCTTTGAACGATGAGCGAACGTTTGATTTCACCGAAGAATTGCAACCGTATATTTGTCATTTCTTCAGGATAGCCCTTTTAGCTGTCAGTGAAATGTTCTTCATGAGGGTCCTAATGAGTTGCAATAAAAATAAAACACTTTAAATATAACAGGATGCAATGAGAGCCTACTTAAGAATTTCGGGTTAAAAGCATAATCATAACAAAAACAAAATAGAATGACTAATAACACACAGCAAAGATGTCAAGCCACCTACACAAAATTCTGAGATATCCAACTGTGATGTTGTTGTTGTTTTGTTTTAATGGCGCTTTCAGCAACACAGGCTATTTGCGCCAATAACTGTATGTTTATTCATACACTTTATTAATCAGCATCACATTACGGAGTTAGGAAGAAGGTCCAGTTTTAGAGGCAGGAGGAAACCGAAGAACCCGGAGAAAACCTGCGAGAGCAAGTATGGACCGGAAACCAAATGCACTTAAAGCCTGGGCTAAGCCGGGACTCGAACCCGGGCCTCATTGGTGCAAAGCGAGGAGAGAACCGCTACGCTAACCCGCTCCCCCCAACTGTGATGTTATTCGAGTTAGTGATCAACAGAGGATTGTTGATGAAATTTCACAGTGTGTTCAGAGAGAATTCCATATTCGTCGTGTGCCATCTAAAAGTCTGCTTTTACTCCAAAGAAGAAAAGCGTTTAGAACGACCTTGCCTGAAATCCCATTGAGTACACTCAATATTGTCAGCGACACAGGATCCAAAAAGGCACTAAAGATTCAATGTATTCGTACTTCATGGAATAATTTAGGAAACTTGACCTAATGGAAAAGTCAGTCATTGGGCTCTTTTCCTTGTACATTGAGCAGAACCGATTTCTCAACTAGCAGAATACGTAAAGGTCACCGTGCAACGGGCAGAAGTTGTTAGTAATTCTTTTTTAACCCAAAGTATTCGAACTGATTTGCTCTGAAATTAATGCCGGGAAATTTATTCCTCATCATATTTGCCAAAGAGGCCTTTTGTTAGCTGATTGGCAATATTGTCTGCTGAGTACCCAAATAGTTTATAATCTTTTTCATAGTATCTAGTCACCTTATGTACTACACTAAGTGGTACCTCCTTGTAATATTCAACAAGATTTTCCACTGCTTTTGAGATGTGGTATTCGGGGAACTGGACCAAGTGGTCAACTTTCAGCCAGTTTAGAGCGTACGGACCTTCAACAGAAAGATTTCCAAAATGACCAATGAAGTCATACTCGATTTGGCATGGGTGAGACACGATATGCTGCGGTAACCAATGATCATTTATTTCGTTCATTTTTATGTCACTCCCCAAGTCGACAATGTAGTTCATAAATTCGGTCAGTGTAATGTTTAAATACTCTCCATCCTTCAATTTTTTCACCTTTATACCTCTGTACCGTTTAACAATATCTCGTCCATACCAGTTCTCCCACAAGCGCTGCACCTGGGGGTTGTTGTCTGTAACAAGAGCGCAGAACTTGCTCATGTACGCCGAGAGAATACGGCTCATCGGATCCCGAACAAAAAGAACTTTGCGGTAATTAGCAATTCGGGTGCTCTTTTCTTCTGCTGAGTAAGCGTCCAGCTGGAAATGCCCTGTCTTGTTATGCATATACAGATTCCAAAAAACACTTCTCCACGTTGAGCAGGACACTTTGGGGATGAAGTTGAAGAGGATTCTGTGTGCGTCATTTACAAGCATGTGACTGTAGTCCGCG